ACACACACACACACACACACACACACTAAATAAATAAATAAATAAATAAATAAATAAATAAATAAATAAATAGAAAGATTTATTTGGGCTGAGTTTCCTAGTCTTCCCTTCAGTCAGTTGTTACATTGTTTCTGTAGCTAAGCAGCACATCACAGCAGGAGCTCATTGGCAGAGGAGGTTGCTCACATAAGTGCAGGAAAGAGCAAGAGACCTTCTAGTCATCTCCCTGCATGCCAGTGACCTCAGACCGGCTTGTGTGGCCCTGTCTCTTAAGGGTTCCCCACTGCCCAGCAGCGTGTGGGCTGGGGAGCAAGCCTTTACTATGCAGCCCTACCTAGCACTAACTTTGTACTTTTTTTTTTCTTTTTTTCCTTTTTTGGTCTTTTGTTTGTTTTGTTTTTAGGACAGGCTGTATAGGGTATACAGGGTCTCACTGCGTAGATCGGACTCAAATAGTGATCCTCCTGTTTACAGCCTCCCAAATGCTGACATTACAGGCACGCGCCACTACACCCAGTCTCAATCACCTGTCTCAGCGCACTGTGGCGGGGGTGGGGGGTGGGGAGGCAGGCCTGGGGATCAAACTCCAGGCCCCTGCAGCTGCCTAAGCAGGTGCTTTAATCCACTGAGCTATTTAGCCAGCCCTCCCGTTTTGGTCTTTTTGAGACAGTGTCTCACTCTGCAGTTCAGATTGGGCTTGAACTCATGTTGTAACCCAAGCAGTCCTCAATTCACAGTGCTCCTCTTACCTCAACCTCCTGAATGTTGGGATACAAGTGTGTGCTACCATCCCTGGCATCTCTTTAGCTTTTTGAGTCCAATAGTGTGTGAATAGCTTGGGCTCAGTTATAACTATTATGTATAGCCTCACCAAGGAATGTTTGCCTTACTCCAGGTATTACAGTCTTAGGTGACTCCTGAGCTCCAATGCCTTCCAGGCTCTCACATCAGTGGGCAGGTTTGCCACTGCTCCCAACTGTGTAAAGTGTTTCATCTGCAGCAGAGAGAGCTCTCAGCTGTGCAGCCCACCCCATCGTGGGAGAACCTCAAGAGTGAAGTAGTGGGAGGGGGAGAGGAGCAGCTCAAATCCAGTCATGCAGGGCAAAGCAGCTTTGTCATGCATTAAAGCTTCTTGCACTGGTGTGTGCCAGCACTTGGTAGGTTTTCAAAGTGCTAAAATAGTGTGTGGGGGTTGTCAGTTTTGTCCATAGAAATCCTGCCCCTCTTGAATATTTTAATGTTCAGATTGCCCCAGAGATAGCCAGTTGTAAGCCCTTTAAATTGGATTCTGTGTCAGCTATCAGTTATACAGGCTTCGCTATCACATTGGGAATTTATGTGGTATGTTTGACTGTGGGGGTACTTTTTGAATTACACTTCCTCTAAGCACCATTATTTTTAGAAATTTAGACAAGATTAAAAATAAAATTTTTGTAAAGTAGGAACAGAAACTGCTGTTATTCTCAAAGTCAACAGAGAAAATGTACACAGAATATGTTTGTTTCCTCAGAAAGACAGAGTCCATTGATGTAATGGATGCAGTTGGAAGTAATATTGTGGTCAGCACGAGAACGGGAGAGGTGATGAGGATCTTGCCACGGATGCATGAGGACATCAATGAAGAGTGGATTTCTGATAAAACTAGGTGTGTGCTGCTTTCCTTTTCAGTTCATTTAAAATTTAAAGTAAAAATGTTTGTATTTACAAATTATCTAATTAGTATATACTGTTGAAATTTGACACCTTTTTTAAAATAGAGAATGGGACAAAACTGACATTAATAGTCCTTTTTTTTTAGGGAAGGGTCTACAGGGTGTTCAGGGTCTCACTACTAGATTGAATTTATAGTGATCCACTTGTTTACAGCCTCCCAAGAGCTGGGATTACAGGAGCACACCACCATGCCCAGTCCCAATTGCCGTCTCAGCGTGCCCCAGGGGTAGAGGCAGCACAGCAGGCCCGGGGTTCCCCCAGCCCCTTAATCCGCTGAGCTATGTGGTTAGCTCAGTAGTCCTCCATTTATTGATAGCTTTTGTATTACATTTGAGAATAATCTTTCACCTACATGGATAAATTGAAGTAGATTGAGATATTTTTTCAGTGGATTTGAAGGTATTATTTCAATGTTATTCTCTTTTTTTTTTTTTTATTTATTTTATTTGTGTGTGTGTGTGTGTGTGTGGCCAGCTCAGCCCACCAGGGGGCGGGGCTGACTGGCATGTGGTGCTGGTGGATTGAACCGGGGTCCATGTACTTTGCTAAGCTTGTTCTAAGTAGGTGCTTTAGACCACTGAGCCATCTCACCAGCCCTCAATGTTATTCTCTGTTGGAGAAAAGTAAAGAAATTTACACAACGTAATTTTGATAAAATCTCTAACAGGTATTTGAATTTTATAAGTAGTTTTGGCTTTTCAGCTGATGTTTTGTGTGTTATAATTTTAAGATTTTTCAGTTAGCTAAAAATATAGAAAAATCAAAATTTTTTATGTTTTAGTTTTAAACGATGTTCATAAATAATAAACCCTAGACTAGCTAAGTTGTATTTAAGTATTTGTTATTCTGACACTTTAACTAATCTTGTATGTAAATGACATTTCTTATAAATGTTAAACTTGAAAGTTATAGTTGCCTCTTCATCAAGCTCCCACAAATGGTATGATTTCTTTTGTCTAGATTTGCCTATGATGGCTTGAAACGTCAGAGACTCACAGAGCCAATGGTCAGAAATGAAAAGGGGCTTTTAACCTACACCTCGTGGGAGGATGCACTATCTCGTGTAGCTGGAATGGTAAAACAAACAGAATAAGTAGTGTATGATTGTCAAGAAACATCTTTCCTGGGGCGGGGGAGATGGCTCAGTGGAACAAGCACTTGCCTGGCAAGAACAAGGGCCTGAGTTCAATCCCCGGTTCCGCAAAAAAAAAAGAAAAAGAAAAGAAACATCTTTCCTGTGAAGAGGGGGGGATATGTTTCTTTTTCTGTCTTTCCTGTTGCCAAGATTATAATCAAATCTTTCACTTGACTAAAAATTACTGAGAACCATGTGTCATATGTTGTGCTAAGTCTCTCCATCCCTGCCTTTCACAGTGTCGCAGAAAAGGAAGATGTGTAATTAGGCCATGTAGCTGGCTATTATGAGTAGTTATATTGAGAGACAGGGCACATAGGAAAGGCAGGCCTGCCCAGCATAAGTGTACCAAGTTGCATTCCTAGAGAAGGCTGAGAGTGAACATGAGCCAGCCAGAACACAAGTGGAGGGGCTGGGGTATACGTCAGTAGTCTTGGGTGTGCTCAGCATTGCATGAAACACAGGGTTTCATTGGCAGCACCAAAATAAAAAGCAAAAGTAGAGAGAGCCATTTTTCGATTGGAGAACAGCAACATAGACAGAGACCTAGAAGGAATGGTAGACTCTTTAAAAAAGGTTTGATTTAAAGAAACTGTAGCTCCAATGGGCCAGGGATATGGCTCAGTGGTACAGCTCCTGCCTAGCAAGCACAAGGTCCTGAGTTTGTTTCCCAGTACATAAATAAAGCAAGCTCTAGAGTATATCCTGGATATAAGTATATCCTCCAGGCCTCATTTTGAAGCCTTTTTTTTTTTAAGCCTTTTATTCATAAATACAAAGTATATACCTTCCCATGGGGTGTGGTGGCACAGGAAGATCGCTGCGAGTTTGAGGCTGGCCTGGGCTATGTAGTGAGGACAGCTGGAACTACATAGCAAGACTGTCTCACAAATAAATCAGTAAATGTACATACACCTTCTTTTAGCCTGGTGTTACTTAAGTCTTGGCCTCACAATAAACCACTGCTGCTTCTCACTTTGATTTATTTATTATGGTACTGGGCGTAGAATCTAGGACCTTGCATGTGATAGTCAAGAACTCTACCACTGAGCTACATACCTGGCCCTTTTTATCTTTTGAGACAGTTTCCAAGACTATCCTTGAATTTGTTTTGGCACCAGGGATCAAACTGAGAACATTACACTTGCCAAACAGGTGCTTATGCCACTGAGCTATCTCCCCAGCCCTAACCTTGAATTTGTGATTCTCCTCCCTCATTCTTCTGAGGGCTAGGTTTATAGGGATGTACCACTGTGCCTGGCTACTTACTACTTTTCTTTTTTTTTTTTTTTTTTAAATTTTATTTATTTATGTGTGTGTGTGTGGCCAGCTCAGCCCACCAGGGGGCGGGGCTGGCTGGCATGTGGTGCTGGGGGATTGAACCACGGTCCCTGTGCTTTTGCTAAGTTTGTTCTAAGTAGGTGCTTTAGACCACTGAGCCATCTCACCAGCCCCTACTTACTACTTTTCAATTAAGAATTAATATAAAGCTTTCTAGTCAAAGTGTGATGCTTTTTTGTACAGTACTTCAAAATGGTTGTCATTTGATTTCAGAACAACTCAGTTTAGTTTTTGTTAACAGTGGATTTCTCAGTGATGTTTTTATCCGTTTCTAGCTGCAGAGTTTTCAAGGCAAGGATGTGGCAGCAATTGTAGGTGGCCTAGTGGACGCTGAAGCCCTGGTAGCCCTGAAGGATCTGCTTAATCGAGTGGACTCTGACACCCTGTGCACAGAGGAGGTCTTCCCTACCACGGGTGCTGGGTGAGAACTATGAACCTGTGACTTGGCCCAATGTCTCACCCCCCTTTTTTTTCCGTGTTTTTTTTTTGTTTGTTTGTTTCTTTTTCCCTTTTGTTAACAGATTGTGTGTAAAACAATCACATGTCTCATGTGACTGACTACTATAGAGTCTCCAACATCCCTATCTGGTTGTTTTGTTTTGTTTTGTTTTGTTTTGTTTTGTTTTGTTTTGTTTGCTCCGAATGCCTTCAGGGCAGGTTTTCTGGCTTGAGTTGTGGGGATTGAACCATAGCAACCTGAGCCTGACTGCTTTATTGAAGCAGCCACTTAAATAGCTGAGCTAAGGGACAGGCCCCCTGTTTGTTTTTACATGTTGATAAAAATCAAAGCAAGAGCTAGGTAATAGAATCCAGTTACTAATAGCATTGAAACTGTTCAATTTAGAAATATTTCGTCAAGGGGCCTGGGATATAGCTCAGCAACAGAAGTACCTGCTTGACATGTGTGAGGTCCCAAGTTCAATCCCCGATACTGCAAAAAAAAAAAGAAAAGACAGACAGACAGACAGACAACTGCATCAAAATATTTTGTCTAAGAGTGCCATGAGGGGCTGGGGAGATGGCTTAGTGGAATAAGTGCTTCCCTGGCAAGCACAAGGGCCTGAGTTCAATCCCCGGTTCTGCCAAAAAAAAAAAAAAAAAAAAAAGAGTGCCATGGGTCTGATGATGAGGATATTTAATGAATTCTTTTTTTTTTTTTTCTTTTCAAAGTTTTATTGATAAACATAGAGCAATGTCAATGAATTCTTACTATGTGTTAGCTTTAAAGTAAACTTGAGTTGTATAAATTGTATTTCCAGAACAGATTTGCGCTCCAATTATCTCCTTAATACTACAATTGCTGGAGTGGAAGAGGCAGATGTTGTCCTTCTGGTTGGTACAAATCCACGTTTTGAGGCACCACTATTTAATGCTAGAATTCGAAAGAGGTTAGTAATGTTTATTTGGGCTTTTAAAATATGTGGGGAGGGGCCATGGAAATAGCCCAGTAGAATAAGCGCTTGGGCCTGAGTTCAATCCCTGGTTCTGCCAAATAATAATAATAATAATAATAATAATAATAATAACAACAATAATAAGTAAATAAAAATGTTTTTTTTCTGATTTATATGTGGAAAAAATAGAATTGGAGAAGATTCCTGTAAGTACTACTTGTAATGAGATTCAGAAGGTAATTAGATTGCAGTTTCTAATAGGTCTGTCCACCAACCAAAACTGATCTTTTTATTTTGTTTATTTTTATTTGGAAATAAGATGTTTAAAAATGGCTGCCATATAACCATCTTTAGCCACTTTTTACCCAGATTAAAGGTATTATTTTGCCATATTTGTTATATGATGCTGTGTGTGTTTCATCATCCTGAATCATGTGGAAGTAGGTGCAGGCATGGTACCTAGATACTTGAGTATTCATTCCATAAGAACAAGAGGTTTTCTTTTTTTTTTTCTTTTTTTTAAGAGGTTTTCCCTTAATCAAGAAATTTAGTATGGGGGCCTACCCCTTAGCTCAGTTCTTTTTTTTTTTTAATGCGGAACCGGGGATTGAACTCAGGCCCTTGCGCTTGCCAGGGAAGCACTTATTCCACTGAGCCAGCCAATCATGCCCTGAAGGCATTTGGAGAAAAAAAAGAAAAGAAAAGAAATTTAGTATCAATAGAATATTTGATACACAATTTATAGTCAAAGTTTACATATTTTCCATAATTTCTTTTATAGCAGTTTTGTTTTTCCTGTCTGCCAGGTCTTCTAGAATCATGTTGCAATTAATATAATTCTTCAGGCCCCTTTTCTTTTTCTAAAGACAGGGTCTTGCTACATAGTTCGGGTTGGCCCTAAACTCCCTATGTAGCTTCAGGCTGACCTTGAATTTGTGACAAGCCTCCTGCTTCAGTCTCCCAAGTGTTAGGATTGTAGTTATGCACCACCATGCCTGGAAGGCCCCATTTTAAAACCATTTATTTAAAGAACACACACACACACAAAAAAAAGAACACAGGTGAGTTATTTTGTAGAACACTTCCCCATCCTTGTTTTATATCTTAGAGACTTATGAATAGGAGATCATATATTTTATTTTCTAAACTGGGAAATTGTTGAGAGTAAAAAAAGGAGTTAATTGCTTCTGAGTGACAGGTAAAACCTACCTCTGTTTAAGGGAAAACACTGGGGGCCCGGGAGCTGGTTCAGTAGAGTAAGTGCTTGCCTGTCAAGCACAAAGGCATGAGTTTAAGCCCCAGTACTGCCAAAGGAAAAAAAAAAAGAAAACACTAAAAAAAAATTCCTTCTCAACTTTAATTAATTAATTTTTAAAAAACCACTGCGCTTATAATTGCAAATAAGGTAGGTCATCATTCCCTGTCATAAAGAATAAATATGGGACTGGTGAGATGGCTCAGTGGTCTAAAGCACCTACTTAGAACAAGCTTAGTAAAGCGTAGGGAGTGCGGTTCAATCCCCAGCACCACATGCCAGCCAGCCCCGCCCCCTGGTGGACTGAGCTGGCCACACACACACACACACACACAAATAAATTTTTTTAAAAAAGGAATAAATATGAATGTCATAATTTATCTTCATGAACTATATTTAAATGAGAGATAATAATTAAGAGATAATTGATCTGCCATGTAAATACAACAAAATAGAAATTTAATTCTTTTAATTTAAAAAAAAAATTTTGTGGTACCAGGGATCAAACTAGGAACCTTGTACTTGCTGGGCAGGCACTTATGCCACTGAGCCTGTATCCCTAGCCCCAAAATAGAAATTTTATTTGTTATTTTATTTAATTATTTATTCATCTATCTATCTATCTGTTTATTTATTTTTGGCAGACCCGAGGATTGAACTCAAACATTTGTTTGCAGCTAATTTACAGTTAACATTTGTACAAAGAAAATTAATGCATTGGGCTAGGAATATAGCTCAGCAACACAACACCTGCCTGGCATGAAGGTTCTCAGTTTGATTCATGGTACCAAAAAAGAAAAAGAAAATCTGTGGACCAGGGATACAGCTCAGCAGCATAAGCTCCTGCCTGGCAAGTGCAAAGTCCTGAGTTTGATCTCTGATATAATTAATGCATCAAATTGCCTTGGCATATATTTTTGCAACACTATTTTGAAAAATATACCATAAATTCTGTTAAGATTAAATGTTCTTTTAACATTTTGTAATTATAAGTAAATGTAGGCCTTTGTATTGATGAGGACAAAGCTGTACTTGCTTTGGTTGGCTCTACAAAGTGTTTTTATTTCAGTTGGCTTCATAACGACTTACAAGTGGCCCTGATAGGCAGTCCAGTGGACCTCACTTACAGATATGACCACCTGGGCGAGTCTGCCAAAGTTCTACAAGACATTGCTTCGGAAAGCCATCCATTCAGCCAGGTGCTCTCAACTTACATGTATCTACTATTGCTGATCTTTACTATTTTAAAAATGTATTGTGTTTGTAATAACAATGTGTAATTATTGTTAAAATTTTTGGTAATACAGAAACTGGAAGATAGCAGTGTGGGGCTGTTCTGGCTAATGTGTGAGGCAAAAAGCATAATCTGCAATCCCACTACCCTGAAACAACCTGATGAAACATCATAATCATCTATAGAGAGAGCAAAGTGGATGGTTATGCAAAAAAGCTGAGATCATGGTCTATATACCTATCTTAGTTACTTTTCTTATTGCTGAGACAAAATACAGAAAAGAGTTGAAGGAGGAAGGGTTTATTTCAGCTCAGTTTGTATTTTTTAAGGCAGAATGGCATGAGAGGGGCACTGCAGAGGGGAAACAGTCCAAGGAAGGACAGGGAAGGCAAAAGGCAGCAAGGCAGTCAAGTAGCAAAGTACTTTCCATCCAAGCTATCTACTTTTTGGGTGGTAACCCCACATCCAAGGTAGAGCACCTTCAATCTCAACACCACACACCCTAATCCAGCCACCTTTGAAACTCCCCACTTAGGACTGAGTGAGGCTTTACGGGAACATCCAGATACAATCCATAACAATGCTGGTTTGTTCCCCCCGCCCCCGAACCGGGGATTGAACTCGGGCCCTTGTGCTTGCCAGGGAAGCGCTTATTTCACTAGCCATCTCTGCAGCCCCAATGCTGGGGTTTTTTGAAGGGCTTCTTTTTTTCCTTTTTTTGAGGAACCAGGGATTGAACTCAGGCTCTTGCACTTACCAGGCTAGCACTTATTCTACTGAGCCACCTCACCAGCCCCCAAAGAACTGAGCTAAGGGGCAGGCCCCCAATGCTGGGGTTTTTTGAGACAAGGTCTTACATGTAGTTGAGACTGGCCTTGAACTCACTGTGTAGCCCAGGCTAACCTCCATCTTATAGTAATCCTACCTCAGTCTACCGAGTGCTGGGGTTATAAGGATGTGGCATGTGCCACCATACCTGGCTTATATATGCTGTAACAAGAGACAACCACAGTTCTTTCTAAGCCTTATATCTTTCTTTTGGTTGGGGAAGGTCTGTTGAGACAGGGTCTCACTATGTAGTTTAGGCTGGCCTTGAGCTCACTTTGTAGTCTCAAGCTGGTCTCAAACTCTCAGTACTCCTCCTGCCTCAGCTGCCTGGGATTACAATTCTATGCCACCACACCTGACCTTATACTTTATACCTTATCCAGGCTACTCAGGGTGGGTAGCACTCAAACCCTTAATCCTAGTGTCCTTGATCCTATCATTGCAGCACAAATCAATCCTAGCATCACACACTAGATTAACCACATAAGAAAAAGCCACATCGAGGGACATCTAGGCCATAACAGTGCCTTTGTTACTGTGGTAAGGCCTGCAACAAGCTGCTTCCTCTTTACTCAATTCTGTTTTGTTGTTGATTTTTATTTTATTTATTTATTTATATTTTTTTGCGGAACCAGGGATTGAACTCAGGCCCTTGCACTTGCCAGAGAAGCGCTTATTCTACTGAGCCATCTCCCTGGCCCCTGATTTTTAAATTCTTAATTTGTATCTGAAGTTCAGCAATTTCTGAAAAATGTTTCCTAAAGTTGATACATCTCCTTATTGTGGAGTGTTTGTTTTTCTTGTGTGAGGGCTGGGTTTAGTCCGTAGTGCCACAAAAGAAAGAAGCAGCCAGGCCCCACTTGGTGGTTCTGAATAGAAAAAAAACTACTGTAATTGACAAAAATATATTAGGAATAGCTGACTATGTAATTAAATCTCTATAAAATGTGAACCAAGGGGCTGGTGAGATGGCTCAGTGGTCTAAAGTACCTACTTAGAACAAGCTTAGCAAAGCACAGGGACCACGGTTCAATCCTCCAGCACCACATGCCAGCCAGCCCCGCCCCCTGGTGGGCTGAGCTGGCCACACACACACACACACACACACACACA